CGGCTCGATCATTTCTGCATCCTACTCACACTGCCGTACGAAGCTAAGATGAGAGCGCTACCACCCGCACAAGCACTCAATCTCTAGGCCTTATATATGACGGGTCAGATGAGTCTCCTCAAGGTCAAACGTTATGACTTCATCTGAGACGTGACAGTAGTCAGACCGCCTTGACTCCCAACTCTAGTCACCGAAGCAATCAGCCGTCGCGGAAACACCCAACAGAGGTTCCTGTCCACTGTACTCTCGCGGCGGCCTTGAGCACTCACAATGGAGTACCAGCGTCGTCCTCCTAGCAGAGACCGAGGGGTGACCACGTGACTGACTGAGGCACTAAACAGCTGCTAGTGCAGATCGGTCGATTTCGGAACAGTTCACCGTTGCCGTTTCTAGAAGTCACCCCGTTCATTGACGCAACGGCCTTAATGACAGTCATTCTATCCGATGATCAGGGTTCACACCGGGTGGCTACGTCAGGCGTGTGTACGAACACCAGCGCCAACGTCTCAGGGAGAGACAGTATAACTCTGCGTTTATTGGAAGGTTGATGCGCCAGAGATAGAAAAATCGATATTTGCTGGATTTCATGAAAGCCATTCATTTAGCGCTATGTTAACACAGGTCATGCTTCGATCATATTTAGTGTAATAGTTTTGATCGTTTTCTTTGATGATTAGATAAACCATAGCACACGGAGACTGTAGCATCGGGTTTTGTGGTTGCCCTCATATGCTCTATGCTATGATAAAGCCTAAACCACAGAACTAGCTACGCTTTGGTTATGTCCTACTTGGCGGTTCAATACATTAGTTATAATTAACCAGTGAAATCAGTTTAAAATATGAGAAATTTGCATATTTTGAGAGTAATTCGTTTTTCCCGTCAGTCACTCTTCACCGGTTTGTCGGTTCCATTTAAGACCTATCAGGTACTTTCGTTCTGGTTTAAATCTTAGCCTGCCTTTCGAAAAATGTGGAGAACGGTTACATCAAAGATTTGTTATTGTAGTGCTCTCGAACCCTTCAGCTTGTGCTTTTATCGGCCAACTGGGTCCACTAAATGCATCTTCAGAAGCCACTGCTTGTGATCAGGTATGATTGACTCGCTTTGAAAACGAGCGAGTCAAAGAATGGAGAAACGAATGAATGTGTTGCAAGAATGAACGACTGATCTGATGAATCAACGGATGAATGAAAGAGTAATGCGTGGGATTCAGCGTTTCAGAGGGATTGTTCTTGGTGCAAATGACCCAACAACAGACAAATAGTAACAGGCGAAAAATATGGGCTGGATTTTTGGTTCGAGTCCATTCCTTTGGCCTTCAGCAACAGATCAATGAATTCCTTCACATCTGGATAGAATAAAGAGATTCCATAAAAGACTATTCATTTCAGATTCCTCTCACTCTTTCCAGTAGTAGCATCAGATGTCGTCTTGGAAAGGTATCGAGTCTGCAGTAACTATGAACATTTGCTGTAAGTCATTTTAGGCATTCCTCTGAGTCTTCTGATTGCCGACAGACCAAGGAACAGCTAGTTGGTCACAAGTCGTAGTGGATTTTGCAGGACAGGTCAAAATTGTAGTAATTGCTGACATACCATTCATAAATAATGCATTCTCATTTTGATTATCGGAATGAAGGTTATCACTGCCTTACCCACAATATCAATGCTCATAATCATAACGGCGTTGAATCGTAAAGGAGATTAGCATTATGACTGTGAAGTTTCTGCAAATACAGGCTGACACAAATGAGCCGTTGCCAAAGGCATGGTGCTACATACAAACAACCAGGGAAAATGCTGAATCAGGGTTCACGTTTGGAGCCATAGAAAGCCTGAAGATTCATGCTACAGTTTGGTGTTCGGTTTTTGCTCGAGTTCGTGCCACTGTTTCTTTGCTAGCAACCTTTG